AAATAGGATACCTTTTAGGACATCAATTCTATTTTATAACCAACACAACCAAACATAGTTGGGATTTGAAATTCTATTAATTCTTTCTCATTTTCCTTTCATTTCCATTTCCCTTTCCCTTCCCAAATCCCCCAACCAAACACAGCGTTATGCTTTTGAAAATGGGAAATGTTGCCTGGCCTATAATAATATCCAAGTGCATAAGTTTAAATTCAGAATTGACAGCAGAAAGGTTCCATGGAAAGTACTGGTAGCCATAGATATTGGCTTCCACAGGTTTGGATATTTTTGGATATTTTGCTAGGCATTATGTGCAAACACAATATTGGCACATCCCTCTTTTCACTAGAATTCTTGGCACTGTGGGGAACCATTGTGACGTGTCTGAAGTTACATATTAACAACTAAAGTTTCAGTTTGTTTTTTTTTAGTGTTGTTAAAAAATTAAATTTACATATTAAATTAAATTATTTTTTTAGTGTTGTTAATTTAAAATTATATATTAAATAAAAATTATAAATTATAAATTAAATTTATTTAAAAATAATAAATTATAAATTATGGCCTTATAAATTAATTTTTTTTAGTGTTGTTGAAAATTTAATTTATATATTAAATAAAATTATTTTTTTATTGTCGTTAATTTAAAATTATATAAAAAATATAAATTATAAATTATAAATTAAATTTAATTGAAAATAATAAATTATAAATTATGGCCTTATAAATTAAATTTTTTTAGTGTTGTTGAAAATTTAATTTATATATTAAATAAAATTATTTTTTTATTGTCGTTAGTTTAAAATTATATATTAAATAAAAAATATAAATTATAAATTATAAATTAAATTTAATTGAAAATAATAAATTAAAAATTATGGCCTTATAAATTAAATTTTTTTAGGGTTGTTAAATTATAAATTATAGATTACAAATTTAAAATTAAATATTAAATAAAAATTATAAATTACAAGGACAAAATAGTCTTTCGAACATTTATCCTTATCCAGTCCGTCTAACCAAACATTGAATTCATTAAAAATAGTCCAATCCAGACATTTAATACCATGACTAAACAAACATAGGATACAAATCCAGTCCAACCAAATAGTCCGGGGACAATGTATCCCGGGACTAACAGTCCG